AATATGAGTGTACTGTGGCACCCAACCCCAAACACACACCGGAGACGTTGGGGGGGGTGGTAGATGTGGGGGGTTAGAAGGACCACGAATTTAAAAGTTGCCAAGGTTGAGAAACACTGAATTAGACTAATTCAGAGGTAAGCAACCAGCAGCCCTGACCTTATTTCAAAAGCCGTTTGTGATCAGACAATTCAGACTTCTGGCAAAAGAAGCGATTTCTCCTTTTTCCAACTACTACTTTCTTTTTTAATCGACTTAATGTACAGAACAAAAACTTGCTGTTGTTGAACAACGTCGACCTTAATTTCAGACTTTAATCTCGATGGTTTCTTTCTTCCCAGGATTTGAAAAACCAGACTGAAGTAACCCTCAGCATTGTTCATTGCCCCCCTGTCACTACAGCGATTGTTCGAAGACCTGGCACAAAATATCCTCTGGGATTCTGTGTGGAAAATGGCATTGTGAGTAATCTAGGTGGCTCAAACAAGTAAGCCAAGCTCCCTGTTTAGGGGGAATCCAAAATACAGGTAGTTCTCTGTCGGATTTGATTGTGGAAAGGGCTGGTAGTGTGGTATAGCAGTTAAGGCAATTGGACTTGAGTTTATTGAAAAGATGGTATATAAATGCAAGGAAGATCAGATTATGAGTGCTGTTCTGAGTACTGTTCTCCAATAAGTGTTTCTTAAACCTTTTTCTCTCAGGAACTCTTCCCACTTTTAAAAATTAGGGAGGACCCCAAAAGAGCTTTTGTTTGTATGGGTTATATTTATTGTTATTTACCGTATTAAAAATTGAAATTGGCACATTTTTAGAATATTTACAGAATCGTGTAAAAATAAAAATATTAAACCCACTAGATATTAACTTGAATAACATATTTTTCATGAAAAATCCTATTTTTTTTAACGAATAAAAATAATAATGAGCAGAGTGTTTTAAATTTTTGCAAATATCTTCAACATCTGGCAAAGGATTTTGATTTCACGGACTCCTGAGAGGATCTTGGGGGACCTCCAAGGCTCTTCCGCCACCATGTTAAGAAACACTGACCTGTGTTATGTCAATCTTTCCGTCTAAATAAACTTTGCAATAGCTTCCCCTCATTTCTAAACATCCAAGAAAGAAAAAAATATGACTGCTTCTCAGAATGCATAAAATACAGCACCTGTGTTTTATTAAGACTTCCTGAGAGTGTTAGAGTTAATATATTTCTTAATTAGTTAATACTCATTTTAACACTCTCAGGAAGCAATTTTATTTAGGCATTCTCATGTTTGATTAATTAATACTGTATACAGTCCCCAGTTAAAAATATGACTAGATCAGGGTTTCTCAGCCTTGGGGACTTTCAGACCGGTGGACTTCAACTCCCAGAATTCCCTAGCCAGCAAGGCTGGCTGGGGAATTCTGGGAGTTGAAGTCTACACATCTGAAACCTGCCAAGGCTGAGAAGCCCTGGACTAGATTATCTGAAACCAATAGGAAGTCCTCAAATGTTTGGTGTCAATGTTTGGTGTCTCTTTAGAGGGGAGACACCGTTATGAATGTCAAGTATGTGAAGTAGGCTTGTTCTCAGCCATTCCAGAAGGCAGAGGATGAAGCAGTAGGTAGAAGTAATGAAGTGGATTTTGGCTGAATGGGGAGAGAAATTTCCTGACCATAAAAGCTTCTGGATTGTTGTGCAAACTTTTGGAACCACACTTTGCTTTTAGTCAGTGTGCCTAGGGGTTGCATGCCAAAAAGTGGGCGATGGTCAAGGTGCAACCAGATGTGATTTCTATTAGAATTACTTTCAATTCTATCAATTAAATTCAGCTCGTGTAATTCACTTGAAACTAGGGGAGGTGCACCTACGGCTTGGAGGGGGAAGAGTGTGGTTTGTGACCTCCTTGTGCTAGACTGGCTACCCTCTCAGGAATGCTATATCTGCTGGGAGGTGGACTAGATGCCCTCAAAGGTCTCTCTCAGCTCTGATGATGAAGCTTTGGAAATGGGGTATGTGCGTGAGCAAAACTTGGTGACTTTGTTTGGCAAACTCAGCCATACAAGTGGAGTTTTCATTATGCCCAGATCTGTAGCCTCATGCGTGGTGGGATTGCAGAACGTGGTGGCGTCCGTGTGGGACATCGCATCATTGAGATCAATGGGCAGAGCGTGGTGGCCATGCCGCACGAGAAGATCATTCAGATCCTTTCGCAAGCAGTCAGCGAGGTACATGCACAGCTTGCTTATCTGTTCGCGAAAAGCCCTGTTGTGAAAAAGCCACATTGAAAAGGCTTCCTCTGTTTTCTTTCTTCGCAAGGAGCTCAAGGTGGGGCTCTTAATTCTCATGTGATATTGCCCAGGGGAGAAAAAAAATCAGATGCACCTGGCTTGGCAAATTTGTGAAAAGGTTTTTCGAACTGTGGTGGGTTGCAAACCTGAGTACAGGTAGTCCTCACTTAACATTCACAATAGGGACTGGAAAATTTGTTGTTAAGTGGGATGTTTGTTAAGTGAGTCGCACCCAATTTTATGACCTTTTTTGCAGCAGTCATTAAGCGAATCACTGCAACCATTAAGCAAATCATGTGGTTCCCCATTTATTTTGCTTGCCAGAAGCTGGCTGGGAAGGTTGCAAATGGCGATCACATGACCCTGGGACACTGCAACTATTTTAAGGGCAAGCTGGTTGCCAAGCTCCTGGATCGTGATCACGTGACCGCAGGGATGCTGCAACGCTTGTAAGTGCAAGGACTGGTTGTAAGTCCCTTTGTTCAGCACTGTTGTAACTTCGGTCGCTAAACAAATGGTCGTTAAGTGAGGACTACCTCTACTGTATGAATCGTCTAAGTGACATCACTGCTGAACAGCAAATGCAGTCGAGGCTGAATCAATAGAAGCAGAGGGTCTGTAAAGAAGGTTAGAGCTGATTTGAGAGAATGTGTGAAAGAGCTATTGAAGAGTGTCTCAGACAAGCCATTACACAGTCCAGAGACAGAAGCCCCAAAACCTCACCTTGATTTTGTATAGTATAAGTTGGGACAGAGAGAAACTTGGACAGGCTTTCTGTGATGGAATGTATCTACGAGGAGGAGAGAGATGTGAGAGATCAAGGCTATCGGGAGGGAGGGAGTGGATTCCAGCAGGGGAAAGGAGACAAGAGACAATACAGTCCTCAGGGAGAGTGTGGGAAGCGAAAGAGGTTCAGGAATCCCTAGAGATTCCACTCCCTAGAATCTCCCAGGGTATATCTACTAGTTGCTGTTGTATAGATTGAGTTTGGCAAGATGCTGTCTATAAGGTGTAAACTAATAAAGGAACTGTACTCGACTGGACTGCTTCACCATTGTTCTTGGGCTGGGCCTGACACTTTCAAGATTGATGCCAGCCCTTTGAGGCAGGCCAGGTCAAGAAACAGACGCTGCAGGGATTCTGGGAAGGCTACCTAATAATCGAATCTTGAAAGCCTAAGCTGAAATGGGTGCGATTAGAAATTGTGGGTGAGGAGAGGATGGAACAGGTGGCAGAGAGGAACTTTGCTTACCTTTTGCAGTAAACATAGACCAATGTTTTTCAAACTTGGCAACTTTAAGATGTGTGGACTTCAACTCCCAGAATTCCCCAGCTTGAAAAACACTGATATAAACCATAGCCAGTGTGGCAGCCATTTTGTGACCATGCAGCCCCCCTCACCTCCGTGTGAGCCCTGGTGTGCAATTGCTCAGTTTCAGATGTGGCCCCTGACTTGGTCGTGCTTCTGCTTCCTTGCAGGTTCATATCAAAACCATGCCAGCCTCCACCTATCGTCTTTTAACTGGCCAGGAGCAACCAGTCTTCCTCTGATGGGGCGGGTCTCGGCAACCCGGCTTCCTGCGGCTGCTTCACAAGCTTGCTGCACCCCCAAGATCGGAAGCCAGCCTCGGAGCTCAGCGCCCCAGATCCACAAGGGAGTGGACAGGGGCACGCCTGTTTCGACTGCCTGAAGCATCCCAGCCAAGTTAGCTGTTTGTTTCCCTTGCTGGGAGAATACATGTGGGGTGTGGTTATCCCTGGCTGGCTCAAGGTTACCTTCTGCACTAGGGCTTTGAGAAAGCAAGAGATATTGGAGATTTAACCTGACACTGCTGTGCTGTGCTGTGTTGTACCTGAAGTGGTGGGGTTAGACTTAGCCCTTCAAGGGGTGAGCAATGGTGCAGGGTGGGAAGAAGCCCTTGGTTTTATTCAAGTCATTTTTAAAAAATTCCTGAAGATCGCCAAGCAGGTGGAGATGGGCTTTCCTGTTTCTCAAGGTGTTCTCTTTTACAGAGACTTCTTTTCGAAGGCAAGACAACATGAGGGAAGTATCAAAGCTTAGCATTTGGTAAATGCTCTTTGAAGTGGTTCAGTCCACAATCAGGTTGCAGCAGTGTTGTGGTCAAGGCAAGGCAAATTTAAAAGATTCTGCCCAGCAGGATTTGGGGGCAGGAGAAAATCCCACCCAACTCTCCCTGGCTGTGTGGGATCCCGCTTCCACCCCTGAAATCCTCTTCTGCAGCAATACAAGTCTGGCCTTTGCTGTTAGAAATCAGAGCAAGCCCTCCCGGGGTGACTTCAACACCCTGCTGACAATTCTGTGAGTTGCCGTGGAGTTACTGCATACATTTTGTTTCTTAAACTACTCCTACAAACTTATAAAATTATTATTTCCCATAGCAGATCGCGGAGAGAGAGAAAGTGAAATTACGAATGCTCTTTTTTTATAGATAGTAATTATTCTCTGCACACCAAAAATGAGGGAAATGAACATTACTTGCGGTCTTTTTTAAAGCATCTTCCCGCTCGCACTTGAGTGCTTGTAAGAGTTGGCTGCTTTCAAACAAGACAATCCGCGCGAAGCAGCCTGGACTGCTCAGAGAGAAGTTTGAACTTGCTTTGTAAACGTTAAAAGTAACATAGCAGGATTGCAAACTTCTCCCCAAAAGCTTTCACAAATGACTAGGAAGGCTTAGAAACTGCATTAAAGTCTGGTTTGTTTTACCATGTACGCCAGTGTTTCTCAACCTTGGCCACTTGAAGACGTGGGGACTTTGACTCCCAGAATTCCCCAGCCAGCATGGCTGGCT